ATGAAGAACCATGGAAGCCACTTGAGACATTTGCAAACCAAATTTCTTAGAGAGACTCCAAATCCTAATTGTAAACCTTTAGGCTTATGAGGTTAATTGACTGGTCAACTCTAGAGTGTCTTGAGTGTTTCAGAAGCTTTGAAATAATGTATTTGAGAAAGAAGGGAGGGAATATTTTGGGGTACAACAGCTTCCCCTGTTCAATATTCTTAAACCTGAAGGGTTACATTGTAATGTCCGCCATTCGTGATTTGAAGGTAGAAGATGATTGAACACTTAAGTGCCCAGAAATTTGCACTCGTCGGTGCCAGAAGTGACGTTGTTAGTTGATTGTACTGGGAATGGACTTATAGATTCCATTTGGAGAGGGGACAGAGAATCGTCAGAGATGGGCTTATAGATTCCATCCAAAGTAATTATTGACTTCGCTGGATAAGAATCAGAATGAATCATTGTCGATTTAAATTGAACCAGTAGATGTCTTGAATTGTCTTTAACTGGATATGAATCAGAAAAATCTTAGGGTAGATTTAACTGAACTAGAGAAAGAATCTACCAGAAAACAAATCAGGATAAATCATTGGTCGATTTAAACCGAACCAGCAGAGGTCTTGAGCTGTCGTTAACTGGATAAGAATCAGAAAAATCTTACGGTCGATTTAACTGAACCAGAGAAAGAATCTACCAGAAAACAAATCAGGATAAATCATTAGTCGATTTAAACTGAACCAGTAGAGCTCTTGAATTGTCTTTAACTGGATAAGAATCAGAAAAATCTTAGGGTCGATTTAACTGAACCAGAGAAAGAGTCTACCAGAAAATGAATCATGATAAATCATTGGTCAATTTAAACTGAACCAGTAGAGGTCTTGAACTGTCTTTAACTGGATAAGAATCAGAAAAAAATATTAGGGTAGATTTAACTGAACCAGAGAAAGAGTCTATCGGAAAACGAATCAGGATAAATCACTGGTCAATTTAAACTGAACTGTCTTTAACTGGATAAGAATTAGAAAAATCTTAGGATCGATTTAACTGAACCAGAGAAAGAGTCTACCGGAAAACGAATCAGGATAAATCATTGGTCGATTTAAACTGAATTAGTAGAGGTCTTGAATTGTCTTTAACTGGATAAGAATCAGAAAAATCTTAGGGTCGATTTAACTGAACCAGAGAAAGAATCTATCCGAAAATGAATCAGGATAAATCATTGGTTGATTTAAACTGAACCATCAGAGGTCTTGAATTGTCTTTAACTAGATAAGAATAAAAAAATCTTAGGGTCGAGTTAACTGAACTAGAGAAAGAGTCGATCAGAAATGAATCAGGATAAATCATTGGTTGATTTAAACTGAACTGTCTTTAACTGGATAAGAATCAGAAATATCTTAGGGTTGATTTAACTGAACCAGAGAAAGAGTCTACCAAAAAACGAATCAAGATAAATCATTGGTCGATTTAAACTGAACTAGTAGAGGTCTTGAACTGTCTTTAACTGGATAAGAATCAGAAAAATATTAGGGTCTATTTAACTGAACCAGAGAAAGAATCTACCGAAAAATGAATCAGGATAAATCATTGGTCAATTTAAACGGAACCAGCAGAGGTCTTGAATTGTCTTTAATTGGATAAGAATCAGAAAAATCTTAGGGTTGAGTTAACTGAACCAAAGAAAGAGTCTACCGAAAATGAATCAGGATAAATCACTGGTCAATTTAAACTGAACCAACATATGTCTTTTGAGAATGACCTTTTGAGGAAAATGCTCAAATAGCCCTTCGTTAGATGTAGCCTTCGAGAAGATTGTCAGGTCATATAAGTAGTTGGTGATGTCCATCTATCGATTGATCTTTCCTGAAAAGGTAAAGAGTCAGATGTATGAAATGTCATGGTGTATGAAATGCATTGCACAATGATGTTCTCAAAATAAATGAGATTGTGCTATATGCATTTTGTATGCATATGCTATGACATTTGGTAAATGTTGTATGAATGTGACATGCTTTTGAAATGCATTCGTAAACTTGACCAGCATCTTAGTCTGGGTAAAATAAACCCCTGACTGTCGTTGGGGATGAAAAGTATGTGTAATCTTCAATCTTCTAGGGATTGTTTCCGCTGGGAATTCCTGCTTTCTTGTTTGAGGGAACTCCGCTGGGGAATATTGGTTTATGCTTTTTTCTTGAGGAAATTCTACTGGAGAATGTTAATTCCTACTTGAGGATAAATGTTTAAGAACATTGGTTATTCATTGCTCTGCTAGGGAGTTTATACCCTGACTGGGGATATGAGAGATGGATAACCTTCCGGCTCGTCTAAGGAGGATAAAGTTGACTGGCATCTGATTCGGTTTTAGATTCAGTAGGAACTCTCTGGGGATAGTGACGACTTCACTAGGGAGAGGATTTTAGCCGGTGATTCATGGTAAAAGCATACTCAAGCTGGGGAGTGTCAGAATAAATCTATGTCCTAATTGTATCTGAATATGTATTGAGTGTGTATCAGAATGATATCCATATTTGGACTGTATTTGAATCGTATCTGAAAGATGTACTGAATGAGTATCAGAATGAATCTGTATCTTGATCATATCTGAACTGTATCTGGAAGATGTACTGAATGAGTATCAGAATGAATCTGTATTTTGATCGTATCTAAACTGTATCTGGAAGAGAAATATGAAATTAGTGCCAAATTGAATATGTATCTTGATTGTATCTGCACTGTATCTAGAAGTGGATCTAGAATGAGTGTCAGAATGAATCTATATTTAGATTGTATCTGAATTGTATCTAAAAACGGACCTGAAATGAGTGTTAGAATGAATCTGTATTTAGACTGTATCTGAACTGTATCTAGGAATGGATCTGAAATGAGTGTCATAATGAATCTGTATCTTGATTGCATTTGCACTGTATCTAGAAGAGATCTTGGAATGAGTGTCAGAATGAATCTATATTTAGATTGTATCTGAACTATATCTAGAAATGGATCCGGAATGAGTGTCAAAATGAATATGTATTTAGACTGTATCTGAACTGTATCTAGAAATGGATCTGGAATGAGTGTCAAAATGAATCTGTATCTTGATTGTATTTGCACTGTATCTAGAAGAGATCTTGGAATGAGTGTCTGAATGAATCTATATTTAGACTGTATCTGAACTGTATCTAGAAATGGATCTGGATTGAGTGTCAAAATGAATCTGTATTTAGACTGTATCTGAACTATATCTAGAAATGGATCTGGAATGAATGTCAAAATGAATCTGTATCTTGATGGTATCTGCACTGTATCTAAAAGAGATCCTAGAATGAGTGTCATAATGAATCTATATCTAGATTGTATCTGAACCGTATCTAGAAGAGAATTTAGAATGAGTGTCAGAATAAATCTATATCTAGATTATATATGAATTGTACCTAGAAGATGATAAAATGTTAGAGAAATAAACCCTGTTGGAAAAATACTCTTGTTGAGGAAACACCCTTGTTAACGATATGAACTCTGCTGGAGAACAGAAGTCCGAAAGGGAGTTTTACAACCTTGGAGGAACAAGCTCAGCTGGGGAAGAGAAACTCCATGAACTGTACTGATTGGAACTCCGTAAGTTAGTGATATTCCTTTATCAACCAGGGTGATATGCCGTGGAAATCATGGGGAATGTATGAACTTGTGAAGATTACTCTGTGGGGATAATCTCATGGAAGTGGCTCTGTGGGATCCGTGGAGACTTGTGTTGCAACTGGTTTTTTAATAGAGTCTCCACCCTTAATTTTTATCCTAAAAGAAGGGAGTATAAAGGAATAACCCTAAAAGAAATTCAGAGTTCTAGATTTGGACTCGTAAGGATACTAGGTTTAGAAGCGCGATGTTTAGGAAATAGGCCTTTTATTGTTTATTTGAGAAAAGAGTTTGAATTTTAGTTAGGGGGACTTGCCACGATTTTCGATCGTATACCTACGTATCCTAGGAGGAATCAGAATCTCATTTCATATTTTTTATGGATTGCGAAATATGTTTTGAATTTCCCGCATACGTTGGTCTAAGAGTATGAATAGTGGAGTTTGTTAGACCAAATACACCGTTAACTTAAATATATTCGAATTAATTTAGTTTGTGAAAAAAAGATTGGTGTTTGGTTGAATATTTTAGACATAGAGCGATGAAGTCTGATATATAGTCTCCTTATCACGTGGCCAGATAATGGCCACGTGTCGCTTACTGGTGAATTTGGAGAGTTGCATGAATTTTAATATTTTGATGTAAAATATTAAATTAATTAAAGTTTTTTTTGGATAATAATTATTTTATTAAATTAAGTAATGACTAAATAGATAATTAAAATCTAATTAGAAAAAACAAACCTTAATGCGGTGTAATTAGAAAATAGGATGTATTGATTAATAAAATATAGAAACTGGAGGCCCAATATCTTAATTTAATCTACATAATTAGACTAATAATAAAAAAAATAAAACAATAAATATAAAAAAAAAAAAAAAAAAGCAGCAAAGAAATGGGTGCTACTTAGTCACAAAAAATAATGTTTTCATTCCGCATTAATCCCGCGACCGTTTACAAAACGTGACAATAATTGTAAAAAAAGAAAATAAAATCCATCATTAGGAATGAAAAGGAAGAGATAAGAGTGGACCCAAGCAACTGTTTCTTCCTCTCTTTCTTCTTCCGCATGTGCACAGGGACCCAAAAAAACAATTCTTCACCATTTTTGAAACCAACTCTAACCTCATTCTTCATACTCTCTCAAAGCCCCTACATAATGAATCATAAAAATGACACAGCAACGCAATTACATGGCAAAAATGAAGCTTACCTGTACAAGATCTTACGAAGGTCCTAAGCGGTGAACGAGGCGGAGCCGCGGCGGTCTGATCTGATCCGGGTGGCTGGGTGAAGGTTTAGAGGAGGTGTGAGGGCTTCGGTGGTCGCGGGTGTAAATCGCGTCGAAAGCGAGCTTCGGCGAGATCCGACGGTGGATGAAGTATAGATCTCCGACAAGATTTTCGGAAGCGGCTGTAACCACGGTGTGTAGGTGGTGCGACCGTCGGAGCATGTCGGAGCTGGATGACCGGTGTTCTTGAATTTGCTGGTTTTCCTTTCTTTTGAATCTAAGAGTTGTTATTTTGTTTTTGCAGGTTGTCGAATTTTGTTCAAATTTCACAAGGTCATGGTGTAGAGATGAAGCTTTTTTTTACTGCAAGTGGCAATGTTATGGTTTCATGATGACGAGTTTCATTTGTATGGAGCTTTTTTTAAGGGTCGATGCTTGTCCAGAACTTTTGGTTTTCTGCTGTTTTATAGCTTTTTTAGGGTATTAAGTTAGGCAACAATACTATTCTGTTGTTAATTATTTGATTCAGTGTTGATTAGTGAAGAATCTGTTTCTGTTTTAATTCGATATTATTTTCAATTTGAGTTATGACTTGTAATTATTTCCAGATTTTCACAAAAGAAAGCAAAAGAATGGATCTGTTTCTATTTTGTGATTCAACAGTATCTGTTTGGTTTTGGGCCATACAACATCATTTTTTTATTTGGCCTATCATGATTTGAGAAGCCGTTTTGTTTATCAAAATAATAAAACAAAATGACTAAGTTTAAATAAAATAAAATCAGTAAAGTTTGTGAAAATAACATAGACTGCAAAAACAGTCTTTTAAGACAGAAAAAGGGCCTAACGAATCTTATTTCTTAAACTGGGTTTTGGAGATAAATCAAGTGAAATGGTCTTTGGGCCTTTCAATTAATCCAACGTTTTTTAAAATCTTGAACACAACTTCAAAAATAATATTAATAATAACTGATTATATTAATTAATAAAATGAAGTAATAATTAGAAAAAGAAATTCACTTCCAATTATTTCGATAAAAAATTGGGCTATGCGTTCTTCTTTGCACAATTACGCTCGCGTGTTTCTTAAACAACAACATTTTTTCCTTTTTCTTAAATTAACAAAATAAGACTAATTGCAAAAATAAAAATATTACTTATAATAATATTAATAATAAATAATAATAATAATAATAATAATAATAATAATAATAATAATAATAATAATAATAATAATAATAATAATAATATTACTGTAAGTAAACAAACATTTTCTTTTCAAAATAAATCAAAAAATTGTAATGGGCTTTATCAAAAACGAATTTGTTCACCTCCTTGATTAAAACAATACATCTCTCTTTTAAACTTGAAACGAATTTTAAAACTTAATGGGTCATCAGATATTGATGGTCCATTTTACATCAACACACCCCCTTTGACTTCAAACACCCCTATAAAAGTGAAAACTAAATAATACGATTTATTTAAAGAAACCTTAGATATAATTAGGGGTAGGACAAATTTGGGGTATGACAACTTGAACATACCTCTACTTCTAGAGTCCTTGATGAATGTTGATCAGGGCGATAAGTCTTCTACAGATAGACACGTGACGAGATGACAGGACATAGTCGTACGCTTTAATCCCTAACTTTTGTCTGGACTGTCCTTTCAGATTTTCAGTCCACCGGGATACCCTTTTTTGCTCAAGCCGCCTTTTCAGGTTTTCGACTTGCCGGGTGTACAGTTTTATTTATATATCCCTAATTTTTGCCCGAACTCTTTTGGTTCGCCGGGATGCCCTTATTTTTTTCCTAGGCTAGTCAACCTAGCGAGTCTTTTTCATGTGTAGTATTTTTCGACTATGTCCGTGTTCACAGTGCGGAGAATTGTCACTGTCCATAGTAGTAAGTGTTGTATCACTGCTAAAAAATGTTTGCTTGATCGTACACGACCCTTTGCTGGAACTCATGTTCAATTCCCCAAGTGATTCAGATGGAGATCTGTCATTGGCTACTCAGCACTTTTGAGAGATTCTTTGAATCTTGACTTGACTGCCCAAGATCAGTTAGACACCATGTCATGCCCCTGGATTATGAAAGGCCTGTTACTGGAATGTCTTTTCATCTGAGGTGATTTTGTTCATTGAGAGATTTTCGTTCATTGAATAATCGTTGTGCGAATTTCTCTGCTGTCGAACAATTAGTCATATGCAAACAATGACATTTTAAAAAATACAAAGCTTATGTCTGTCTTGAAATTTTGAAAATACATTTTTAGTAAACAAACAAAATTTTGTAAGAATATGAATTCAACTCAGAATTTATAGTAAATCTTACAGGAGTCAGGATACCTTTTGTAATAGTATGCTTTCGAACTAACCCATGCTTCAACTAGGACTTTTAAAGATTGTAACGTGGCCTGGTTCACAGTTTAAGAAACAAAGGATAAATGCTCAAACTTTATTTATACCCAACTCATTCTTCGTGATATTCTTCAATCCTATACTTAGCTAATTGTGCGCTTAGATCCCAAATGAGTCTGGAATCTTTGCCCTGATGTTCCGGTGATGGTTCGGATACCGAAAGTTTATTTGAGAAGACAGTCATTTTTTTGTAACATTTTTTCTTTTATTGAGGATTTGTAGCGACCTCTTTTTTATTTATTTTATCATCCCTACCTTTTTCCTGAACTGTTTCTTTTGTGATTACAGTCAGCGGGATGCCCCCGTTTTTCTTCTTAAGTCTCCTTCATAGGTTTTGACTTAACGGGCTTTTCTCTTGAAAAATAATGATTGCTTTTTTTAGTGATTACGAGGAACCATCAATGTCTTTTGATTTAGAAGAGCATCTTTGACACTATTCGTCGTGTATGAAGGTAGAGCTTGCGACTGAATGCATATTTGAATTAACTGAGAAACTACCTTGCCCTAGGTTATGATTAAAGGTTTCAATTAGCGTGAAAAAGGAAACTCCTACTTCTTAGGCTCAAAGGGGTTGACTAAGGATTATCTTCCTTATAACTCTACTGTTTAAGATTTGAAACAACGCATGTACATCGTCAGCAAGGTTTGTCCAAAAGCATACTATATGAGATTATGGTATTGTTTTCGTCATCCTCCCTCTAAAGGCTTATAGATTTTTATCGAGAGTTGAATATCATAAAAAGGAAGTAAAAGTATGGTTTCAGTATAGTGAAAATGAATGGATTAATTCAAGATAAACATATGCAATGCATTAATGGAATAATAAAGTTTGACATACAATAAGTGTTCGAAATAATCAAAAGAAATTACAATTTGAAAAATTCTAATGAATAAAAGGTCTCTTTGTCTGAACTTGTCACTTCAAATGGTGTGCCTTTGAGGGATGACAAAAGAATTCAATCAGACCATCTTGTGTGAACTCCAGCAATCCTTCGTCGATCAAGTCTTGAATCTTATTTTTCAATGTCCAACAGCTATTAGTGTCATGCCCAAGACTATTGGAATGATAAGCGTATCTCACATTATGATTGTACCGAAGAGAGGAGGTGTTGGGATTCTGAGGAGGATCCTTCAGCGTAATCAACTCCATCCTTAACATGTGTTGCAATACTCGAGCCGAGGACATGTTGATTTTGGTGAATTGCCTTTTGAGCATGTTCTGTTTATGCTGATTTCCTTGTCGTTGCTGTTGCACTGGTACTGAATTAGAGGTCCGCACTGCTCCTACAGATTGGTTGAGATCACTCTTATTACGATCCTTTTAGTCATACACAATACTGGACTCCTTCTTTCTGTTGTATGACCTCTTTTGAGTACTTGAAGATGCAGTCCCCTGAATTTCACCTCTCCTGAGTTTATTTTCAACATGTTCCCACATGAACATGTCACCCCATTCCCTGTCTGCCAAGAGAGGTTGATCTTTGACTAGGCCCTAAATTTTAGCAGTTTTCCCCAGACAGTCGTATTTGTCCTGATGAAGATTGCTGATGAGAATCCTTAACTCTTCCTGTCCCCGAGATAAATTTTGGATAAGATCCATATGACTATTCATATGGATTCTCATCCTTTCCATCTCAGCTTGCAGTTGTTTCAACTGGTCATTCTTGTTGTCGTCAGGACTTTTCTTGGCCATGTTTCCAGCGAGGAGTGTTTTCAATTCTTCTTGCCCCTTGGATAGATTCAGGAACGTTTCCTTGAACTGAACATCTTGAGCTTGGAGATCTCTATCGTTCTATTTGAGAGCCATTTTCCTTGCTGAAATAAACATCGAGAAAATGAGAAACCTGTCTTGAGAATACATGTTATGTAATGACATGCATGCAATGTTTTCAAGGATCTTGCGGAATAAACACAAGAAAATGTTTGAATTCTGATTGCAACTTTGATCGAAGAACTTCGTATCATTGAATGTCCTTCTATGATAATCAAGCTTGTGAAATCAAGCTTTCCAAGTGTTTTGATGAAGACAAGCTAGCATGCAAAAATGAATGGATCAAGATAGAAGATTTATCTCAAGCAAAGATTCATTGATCAAGATCAACATTTCAAGACTTATGGCTTAAGGTATATGAAATTTTTGATCTTATGCTCTTAGTGCTCAAAACTATTTTTAATCATGCATTTAATTTATTAAAATAATATTTTGAGTATATACTAAGTATGATTAAAGAAGGATAGTTTAAATTGTTTAAAATCTTTAAAAATAATGTTTTTTCAATTTTTGCACTGAAGCAATCGATTGTCATAAAACGACAATTGGTTACATCCAAGAAACATTTGATTCTACTTGACATGCAATCGGCTGTCGTCTGGCAGCAATCGATTTTCATGTGTTTTATTTTCAAATTTTTTGAACGTTGGCTTTAGAGCAACCGATTGCTCCTCAATGACAATCGGTTGTCCTAGTTATAATTTTCAATTTTTTGAAACGTTTCTATGCTGCAATCGATTGCTGCTCTAGTGCAATCGGTTGTTGTGCCTAAAATTTTGAAAAAATTTATTTTTCTAGCAACCTTTGGTAACACCTTTTCATGGCAATCCTTGTATCTTTTCATATACATTGTTTTAGTAAAAATGGTCTAAACATTGCTATGTTTCATTGAAAAGACATTACTACACTATAAATCATTTTCATTTTAGAATTTTGTAAATCAATCAAAAATACATCAAAAATTATACAACAACAATCACTAACAACTTTCTTATTTTTGATTATACTCTTTGTACTCAAGATATTTTGTTCATCATTTTCATATGCATTATGAAAATTGTTCTTGAGCACTTAGAAGAGTATTCCATCCTAAATTTCATATTTATAAGAAAAGATCAATCAAGTGATTGACATTGCTTCTTCATTATTCAAACTCTTATACAAAATCAAACAAACTATTGTATACTTGTTTTCAGGATTGTTGGAAACAAGAAAGACACTTAGGGAGGATTGTTCTCTTTGTGGTCTTAGTGAAAATCCAAGAGGATTGTTCTTGGTCCAAGAGGATTGT